CTGCGAGCGCCGATACTACAACGTTTAAGGCCGATGAAGCGTGCACCGCGAGTCGATAAGCCCACACATCAGAGAAGGCTTCTGGGAGCAGTTCTGCTTTGACCTGGGCACGGTCAAGATTTGACATTAAATCATGTTTGCGGCACCGGATAGGTGCCGTCCGAGGAAATGCATCTTTCGCTACCATGGATTCGCGAATATTAGCAAAAACAGACTGAGACAGCTCACCAAAAATACCTTCAGTGGTCCAGCGGTTCTGTAGCGACATGTACTTTGGGTTCAGTATGGTCACCTGATCCGCTTATCCAAGCTCACTTCGAAGACGTAAGACGCCGCATCGTTTGTCAAGGGACCTCTTCCTGGTCTGGAGCGCACGCCGCTGGATGATCCCGGGTGTGCTCGTTGTACTCGCCCAAGCCCTGTTGGAAAAACATGAGACGGCATGCTTCCGGTGATTCAACCGGTGATAGAAACCACCACTCTTTGTATGTCACGTGATGGCTGTCGTCCGGCCATTCCTATGTGGAATGCAAAAAATAGAGAAGTTCCCAACTACAACAACATTCCCGGTGCACGTTTACTCACGATATCATACTTGTAGGCCTGTCGTACATACGCGTATGGACCCATCTCCTGAAGCCGTGGCTTGTAGCCGCCCTCAATGAAGTTTTCCGTGTTCGTCACATGCCAAAGGTAGATTACGAATAAATCCGTAGCCGGGTCCTGATCGCGGTGCCTGCCCAAATAACGATGCAGTCCGCTTGAACCACAAGGACGCCGGCACAAGCTCGAAATCCTCAAATGTCCAGTCATTCATGAATTCATCATACTCGTTAAGTACGGCCTACGATGCGTTTGTTGTTACCGCAAAGTGGGTGTAATAATGGATGCAGGGTATGTGCATTAAAGGCCACATGAGCGTCCAGCATGGTCGGAAAAAGATATTGACTCCAGAGAAGGGTGAGGATTGCAAGTAGAATTGCGCCTGTCACCACGAAACATTTACCCAAAAGTCTGAACCTCAACGGCATGTGCCGCTCGAGCTTCCGGGCCATACCTCGAGACACCTCCACCGTTTTCGTCATGTCAACGAGAGTATGAGATTGCGCGGATTCGACTTATTGAGCGCAGTAGTTAAACTCTTCAGAATTTAAATAGCACTCCCATGTGATGGATACGTTGAGTTTCTGCGATCTTCGTCGCCACGAGCTTGGACCTCAGAGCGCCGGTGACGGAAACATTTCAGTCCATTCTCGGCCGTCAAGTGGGCAGTAAAAGCGCGTACTATTGTTTGGTATCTTACTTGCACTAAATCTCCCAAATTGACCCAGTGCCTTTAAACCACCGTTTATTATTCGCAGCGTAGGTGCTGGAGGATCCAAGGAGCTTTGCCCTTCTGGAGGTGTCGAAACGAGCTGCTTTCCGCTGTGAATCTCGCTGTAAAGATGGCTCCAATACGCCTCCCATTTTCCTCCAGTAAGCTTAGTTGTCAAAGGATTGTAAGCCTGAGGCCCTTCAACTCAGGAGGAAGATTCTCCTGTATCTGCCCTACTGTGCTTATTCTCCCTTTTCTCCCTACCTTGCAGTCTCATATCTTCATGAGACTGAGTTCAGTCCCAATGTGGCGGGATTTCCGCCTTCAATATCTACCTTTAGCTTAGTTTGAAGCTAGCATTGCAGTGCATGTATCCGCCCTATTTATCTCATTATATCTTTACCCTACAGATACGCGTCGCCGA